GAGAAGGTTGAGGGCTGTCTTGGTGGTGATATTTAAGGCTAGGAAATGTGTTTGATTGGAATTATATAGAGATGATGTTTAACACGTAGGGGGATACCAAAAATAGAGGTTAGGAATACAGGATAATCACTAATAAATCCAATAAGGTGTTTATGAGGAACAGATGTATCCAGAGAATGAGGAGGGCATAGACTTTGTGTCAAATAGTAGTTAAGAGGAAGAATATCACTGTATTTAAAGTGAAGCTAGATTATGTACACGAGGGAGGAAGGAATGCAATGCTATGTTGAAAGATGTTGGTGAAGCATTGTGGGGTAACCCACATGGAGTGTTAACTGCAAGATCAAGCAGTGTGGGTTAAACAACCTGTTTTCATGCTGTAAATTCTGTGTAATTCTATGTATGGTTTCACAGGCTTGGAAACTCTGGCACGCAGATCTGTAGCAAGTCTATTGCCCCAACAGTCCACAAGCCAGTTACAAATGAGAAAGGCCATTCTATTCAGAAGAAAAATGATGGAGAACCCTCATCACAGCACCCTACACTTCGTTAAGTGAAAAATTTCACCTCTTCATTAATCTGGAGTCAATTCCAAATATTTGTCAGTATCAATCACTCCTAGTTGAATCTTTCGGCCATTCCAATCTTTTGATTGTATTTTTCATCACGAATTAGTGTTCTGGATTTGCCCTTTGGTACATTGGTTGATATCTTCTATTCTTTGTTGAAGGCTAAAACATGTTTCAAAGCTTTCCTCAAATCTTAAACACTTGATGCTGGGACTCATTTTCATGACTATTTTTCCAGTTTACTTCACCCGCCATCTTGGTCTTATATTCAAAGCTTTTTCTCAAACCAATTCTTCAACAAAGCAAACATTTATTACTCATTCCTAGTTGTCCTTGCTGTGATGTGGAGTACTGTGCCCAGGTTTTGCATTATGTTGTGTGATTAACCTGGATGAAGGAATAGAGTGTTTTATTTCTGGTTGCAGGTAACAATAAATTAAGAGATACAGGAGGTTGTGTGGAAGGAAGAAGAAAGTTACAAAGAGACACATGCACACTAAATGAATACAGACAACAATAACCCAATATGAAGTTTGATAATGTGATGTGTGAAGTTGTCGCTTTTGATCTGCATTTATTTTCTTAAAAGTGGGGCACAGGAATTGTGGAGCTGTAAAGAGTTTTGAGTTGTCGATGTAAATAAATTACGAAAGACCAAAGCATATGTATTTGAAATAATCGGAAAGTAGGCAGAATCTCAAAAATAAGGACTTTTTATTTCAGTCGCATGCAGTATTAAGCAGATCCCTGATTGGAGTGCTTTCAATTTTGGACATTGCACCTCAGAATGAATATATTGTTCTTTGTAAAAATGCAATGCAGGTACACTGGAACAATACCAGGGCTGACAGGGTTAAATTGTGACGACAGGTTGTACAAACTTGATTTTTGCTCCCTTGAGTTTAGAGAGTTGAAGGCTAATCTAATCATGATGATTACGATGATAAAAGGATTTGATAGGGTAGATGTGAAAAAAAAAATCCTCTGACAGGGGATTCCAGAACAAGAGGGCATAATCTGCAATTTAAAGCTCGGCCATTGTAGAATTGAAAATGATTTCCTCGTACAAACGGAGTGGAAACCTAGAACTATCTTCCCTAAAAGACTATGGATGTTTGATGCCGTTTGGAACTTTCGAGAATGAGATTAGTAGGTTTTTGTTGGGTAAGAATATCTAGAAATGAGAAGGCAGGAAAATTCTGGGATATAGAGCAATCATTGAATGGCAGAACAGATTTCAAGGGCTAGATGGACTATTCCAGTTCCAGTATCCCTATAAAGCAAACTAAGGCCTAATTCGACGTTACAATATACATTACAAGACTGACTACACTCTAAAGTATGAAATTGACTATTAGACACTTTAGGACATTTTGAGATCACAAAAGGCGCTATTTAAATGCAGGTCTTTCTTCGACTGAATCTTTCGAGGACCAGGAAGATTTAGGGGAATTTATGTATGAGTATTGAAGTTAATAAATGAAAGCTACAAATGTAAAGGATAAACGTTAAGAAAATAGTTCCTCAACTTAGCAGTGATCGTATGAACTAACAGAGCAATGAGGATTGTGAGAGGAGTTGTTTAGGAATATTATTGGCTGCAGGTTGTAGGTGTGATTGACAGATGGCGCTGTTGGACCCTATTGTAATGCTGTGCGCAGTAATCCTCAGAGAAGGGTCAATACAGTGTGGAGCTGGAGGAACACAGCAGGTTAGGCAGCATCCGAGGAACAGGAAAGTCGACGTTTCAGGTTTCCACCATTGGGTACTCGAAATGTCGACTTTCCTGATCCTCTGATGCTGCCTGACCCGCTGTGTTCCTCCAGCTCCACACTGTATTGGTTCTGAATCCAGTATCTTGCTATCTCAGAGAGAGGAGTCCTGGAAGGCTTCCTAAAGGAATTGACTGGGCTTCTCTGAACTCCCTACCTTCTGATATTCTATGTGTGTTTCAGGAGAATTTTATTTCCACTCCTTTTTTGCTTTGCATTCCTTTGAAAAATTGTTCTCCTCAGTTTCCTAATCCCTCTCTGGTCCCTCTTCAGTTAAGAAGGAATTGTCTCCATTGCCTCATCTGAAAAATATGGGAATTTGGAGATTCAATAAAATAAATGGATGGAGTACAGTGTAGCTGATCCATAATATTAAAATAAATTAAATATATAAAAATCTTCATATGGTCCCTAAATAAATACTTAGAATTTCAACACAACTGAACTCCGTCTAAATACTTGGTGAAGGGAAAGAACATACACTGTGAGTTTGTACATGTGTTGGTCTGTGTAAGAAACTGCGTAAGTGTCGTAGACATTTACAGTACACAATGAGGCCATTCAGCCCAATTTATCTGTGCCAACATTTTGCTGATGCGGTCTACAATGAATCAACTGTCCCACTCACTCCTAGCTATGAATCTTTTTTTATTTCAACTGTTGATCTAATTGTCCCTTAAAACTTGGAATAGCATTCATCGGTCACTCCCAGTGGTAAAACATTCCATTTGCCCACAACCTGTATGAACAAACTCTTCTTTTGAACTCTCCCTTCAATCTAACATTGACTTCTCAACCAAAGACAATAATCACTCCTTATTCACTCTACCAAAATGTCATAAAACTTTGAACATCTCTTTTAAATCTTCTCTTAACTTTCTATGCTAAATTATAGTCTCTTATCCCTGGCCTCATTCTGTTGAATCTAGGCACCTCTTTCCCTGTGGCTTTAATTTCTTTTCTATAATGTGGAGCCCAAAACTGCACATAGTCTGTAACACTGGTCTAAATAATGTTGTGTATTTATTTATAAATAATTTTGTTCTTCTTATAATCTGTGGTCGTTTTAAGCCATCTCTATCAAGTTTTTAATGATTTTTATGTATCCACTTTCATACTTCTAAAGGAGTTTTCATGTGAACTCCATTGCCAGTGGGAAGCACAAACTCTAGGTTATGATGCCTAGGGATGATACATTGGGAGTGTTACAGATATGTGTGGGACTGAATGAAGAAGCAGCTTGAAAGAGAAAAGAAAGAAGAGGATATATCCAATTCCCCTCAGCGGTGACTACACCTTCACCTGTTCCCTTTGTGGGGAAATCTGCTGATCATTGGAAAGGCCTATCTAGCCACCAGCAGGCCTGTAAAATTGAAGTCAACTGGAGTCAAGGGGAAACTTTTCTTTTGGCTGGCCAGGATCCTGTAAAGCACAATGGAATATGCTGGTGTGTTTATTGAAGGCTAATAATTTCAGTGCAAGGATGTTGCTGCAGGATGTCACCAAGCTAGAATCCCAACCATCTTCAGTATCTCCATCAATGGATTCCCTTCAATAGAAGGTCAGAAGTGGGGATATCTGTGAATCTTCAGATACTGAAGCAGTCCATGCCCACACATAACATGACCTGGACAACATACAGGCTTCCGCTAAGAAGTGTCAAGTGTCATTTGTGCCACACTACCGCCAGGCAATTATCAACTCCAACAGTACAGACTCTAACCATTGAAGAAAGCTTAACATTTTCCAGGACAAGGAGGCAGCCTGTTTGGTTGATACCCTATTCAATACCTTCAACATTCACTCCCTCCACCAGGGATGCACAGTCACCCTAGCATGTTTAATATGATAGAGGGCTCGTGTGGGACGGTGGTAGTATCCCTTCTTCTGAGCCAGGAGGCTTGGGTTCAGGCCCTACCTGATCCAGAGGTGTATAATTACACTTCTGAACAAATTGATTAGAAAACGAGAACCGCAGCACATGCCATCTAAAAGGTGCAGTGCAGCAACTCACCAATGCTCCTTTGAAACCTGTAACAGTTACTACATAGAAGGACAAAGATGACAAGTACATACGAACACTGTATCACCTGCATGTTTCCTTCAAGCCACACACCATCCTGACTTGGAACTACATCACCATTCCTTCCGTGTTGCTGGGTTAAAAATCACGAACTCCCTTCCAAACAGCCCTATGGCTTTACCTACACCCAATGGGCCGCAGTGATTGGAGAAGGCGGCTCACACCATCTCCTCAAAGGCGATTAAGTATCTGCCTTGCCCACTTCCCATGAAGGAGTAAAAATAGATTCTATAGTGTAGAGCATTTACACAGTAGGGTATGACATTGTAATGTGTGGAGTTGTTGAACATTGGTGAACTCGAGCTACTGGGTACATGATCGGGAATGACCTTGTGAAACTGTTCCTATCTGGCCCCTCATTGTCAGAGAATCTGACATGCCCCTCCTGCCGACCTTTGGCCTTGGATTTAGTGTCAAAATGACCTTTAAAAAGACGCTTGCCTGCCTGAAGGTGGACTTTGCGCTGTTGTTTCCTGGTGAGCCGTCAGTCACTGGCTCCTGGAGCTGCCCTCCCAGCCTGGGAGGACCAATAGCAGCTCTCAGATAGCTGTCCACGTGATACCTGCACAGGTAAACCCAAACCAAGTGAGCTGCCCAGCAGCAGAACACCTTCTTTCCCATTAGTCCCTGGCCAGCATTGACATGGCCGATTTGCTGGATAGACTGCGGGGGCCCGAGCTGGTAGCTCAGTTTCAGAAGCTGTGTGGACTCAGCCTACTTTCCGAAGAGAAGTCAGCTCGGCAGCACTTTGCAAAAGCTGTCAGACGGGCAGAGCCTGATTGCACAGCCCGATTCCACGCTGCCGCATGGACAGGGCACCATGTCAACGCTGCAAACAACGGCACGGTCCCCGGGACTCCGGTAAGTGCCGTCTGTTTTTGTACTTCACTCGGAGCCGGACAGGTAGCGCCAATCCTACCCTATGGAATGTACCAAATTTGCCAAACGGCATTCTCCTGAAGAAAACTGTGGCGGTGGGGAAGGCCCAGTTTCCAACTATCCGGCTGCTCTCGGTTACTTGGTCTCATATGGATGCGACTCAATTGGCCTCAGTGCCCCGGGAGGAGGGCGTTCGGCGAGGCTTCACACTCCAAGCCGTTGTCCCGTCACTCCTGTGTCTGCGGCCAGAAGCTGTAGTGCTTCTGTAGTTGAATAGCAGGTCTGAGTGCAGCACACAGCTCTACAGAGACAGGTTCCAACACCTCAAGTTCTGAGCTGTCTGAATAGGGTGATTATTTTTCTGTTTTTCCTTTTTGCTGTCTCTTCCTGCACTGAGTTTACCCTGTCACAGATCAAACTTAAATCCTGGGTGTGTCTGGTGTGTACTCCACTCAGTCTCCTCACTCACTCACTGAGCAGTAGAAGGCAACTGAGCCATCTCTCTGGAGATGCCAAATAATTCATTGATAGTTTGATGGTATGGTCTAGTTCCTATTCAGTAGTTGCCTAACAGGGAAAATGTTTGGAACATTCTCATAATTCTCCAACAGGTTTTGACAGCTCAGGAAGTTTATGAACCAGTTCAAGGATTATTTTATATTGAATACCAGCACAGGAACAGTCCATTCAGACCCTAGAGCCTGTTACAAATATACAAACATATGAATCAGAGACAGAAGTAGGCCATTTGGCCTCTCATGTTTGCTTTGCCATTCGATGTGTCATGACTGATCTGTTTGTGGTTTGAATCCCACATTCCCATTTACTCCAATGACCATTGATTCATTTACCTAAAGAGAACTTATTCAATTATGCCCTAAAATTATTTAATGATCTCGCCTCCATCACATCTGAGGCAGAGTTCAAAAGGTACACAACTCTCAGTGAAAAATATTCTCCTCAGCTCTGTATTAAAAAGATGAATTCATTTTATAAAAATGCCTCCTAATTCCAAGCTCACCCACAAGAGGGACATTGTTTCCAAATCCATCTTGTGAAGACTGTTTAGGATCTTACGCACGTTAATCAAGTCACTCCTCACTCTTTTAATCTCCAGTGGAACTAAGCACGACCTACCAACTTTTCCTCATCAGAGAACCTGCTCATTCCAGGTACCACTCTGACAAACATCTTCTGAACTCCCTCCATTGTGTTTGCATCTTTTCGTAAATAAGGAGACCAAAAATGTACACAATATTCAAGATATGGTCTCACCAATGCCTGTAGAACTGAAGCATAACATTCTTACTTTTATGTGCAATTCCTCATGTAATAAAGGTTACATCCCATTAGCCCAACACTACTGTCATAGTTGATCTTCAGTTCAATTTCATTTGCTTGCCTTTGACTGATGCCCTGGAAACATGCAATTTTCTGGAATAAATGTTCTGTAAAACCCATCATTCTAAGGTGATGAGTGGTGCCTCACCTGAATAGTTATTCTTCCTTGCAAAATTAGTTACCGAGTGTCAGGAGGATATCAAATACTGAAAGACATCACTGTCAAAGCTGATACTTTCCCTCAACCAATGGCCATGCTTTCCTGTATTGTCCTGCAGTCAACTTGCGCACTGATGACTGATGACTATATTGACACCAGGTTTCCTTGCTGTGTAACTGGAGAGCCTCCTGCACATTAGGAGTGAACTGTGCCAAACATTTAGCATGAACACTATAATTTCCCTGAATGTATAGCAAATACCCATTGATATTTCACAGTTTTATCTCAGTCTAGTGTCACAATGGAGACATGGAGTGAATAAATTCTGATTTCTGGTTGATGATGATCACAGATGAGGTGATAGAGAAAAGAATGTGCATTTTGATAGCACCTTTCACACCCCCAAATCATCTCAAAGCACTTCATAGGCATGAAATAATTTTGAATCTTTGTCGCTGATATAATGTTGGAAAAGCGGCAGCAAGCAGAATAGCAAACACCCAAACAGCAGTGTGATAATGACCATGATCATCTATTTTTGTGATGCTGATTGAGGGATAAATATTAGCTAGGACTCTAGAACGCCCCTGTTCATTTGCAAAATAGTACTATGGGATTTTCTTGCTCACCTGAGAAAGTAGATAGGACGTTGGATTAATGTACCATCCAAAAGACAGTGACTCTGACAATGCAGCACTCTCTCAGTACTGCAGTGGGAGCATCTGCCTGGAAGATCTGTTGTGGAATGTACTGGTCTTTCAATGCATGAATCCTCAAATGCTGGTGAGTTCAAGTGCCAGCCTGTATATGGTCATGAATCGCTTTTTATATCCTGACAGGGAAAAGCTCCAATATTCTGTAAATACTCTACAAACACAGGAATACTTTGAAAATTGGAAGGGTATACATATTGTACACTTCTGCTGATATGGATTTCACATTTTTGACAATGGAATGGCGGCAAGCTATTGAGACCAGGTTGTTTGAGGCAGCTTTTGTTCCTGGTTGAGATCATTAAATTGTCTGGTATCTGGATCCTGATTAATAAGTAGTTTCTGAAGTGATACTGTCTTCTGCCTCCCTTTGTTGACTTGCCTACACACAATTTTGGCAAGAATCTAAAAGTTTTAAAAACAATAAGGTGCATTCATTCATATTATCTCCGGCAGTTGTGGTTTAGTGGGTAGCGCTCTTATTTATCAGTCAAAAAGTAATTGTCTCTCTTGAGAATTGGACACAAAATCTTGTTGGACATTCCGTGTGCAGTTCTGAGGGGATGCCATAATGTCAGAGGTAAGATATTAAACCTGTCTGTATTCTTAAGTGCATGTAAAATATCCCATGGCACCATTGAAAGATAGATAAGGAATCTGTGCCCTGTGTCCTAGTAAATATTTATTCCTCAGCCAAGATTATTGAAACTTATTATCTGATCCTTACTATATTGTTGTTTGTGCATACATTGACTGCCATATTTCCACCAGCATAACAGTGACTCCAGTTCAAAAAATATTTATTTAATTGATTGTAAAGCACTTTAGGATGCCATGAGCTTTTGAAAATTGCATTATAAATGCAAGCGTTTGTGCTTTAAAGTATCAGTCAAGGTATCTTAGAGCTAAAAGTGGAGATTCAGTGTGGTACTGAATCATGCTAGCAGGTCTTATTCTCAAGTTATGTTGAAGAACTGATCTAAGCTTGGGAATTGGCTGGAGCACTGAGTATGGGAGAAGAAAACACTAATAGGCTTCCTGTTCTTAGTCAATGAACAAGGGAAAAGGCAAATTGACCAGGATTCCTTGTCCTTTTTACTTTCCAGTAACCTCTGTGTTCAGGAGAGGTTAGATTAGGTAGGGTTCATGCTTGTGATCACTACCTAGTGCCTTCTGTGTTTGAGAGAGATTAGATCAGCCTGAGTTCCTGCTCCTGATCACTAACAACGACCCCTTCTAGGAAAGCACAAGTCTGGGTTTGAAGTGAGGACAGTCTTGGGCTTCTCACTCCTGAACATTGTGTCAACGCTCAGATTCTGATGTGGGTAATAATAACTCAGGAATGTAAAGGTTAAATCACCACAGCCTTACCAGACCAAATGACTGATTGCTCTCTCATTAGAAAGAGATATCTGGTGGCAGTTTAACCTGAGGGTCACCATACATCAGGCAAGGGAAGAGGGTGAAAAGGAAAGTCCTTCAAGGTGACTGCAGGGTTTGAACATATACTGTTGGCATCACTTTGAATTACAAACCTGCTATCCAGCCAACTAAGCTAACCAACCCAACAATTGGAGATTGGACAGAATCCATAGAATTAGACTTCTGGAATAGCAACAGCTTTGAACAAGGGAGGGAAAAGACTTGAAGGTTGATGCAATTGCTTCCACAGTGTTATTGTAGGGCTGAGGTTGGAGGGGTGAGCAAAGTGTTGGTTGGAAGAGAAGGTGTTATTGCTATGTTATTGGAATGGTGTATTACTTTTATTGGACAAGTACATTAATAGCAGATAAACTCAGAAGATAGATAATGTTCCTATTAAAAATAACTAAAGTAGACACATAAATCTCTTAAGGTCTAAATTCTTTAACTGAACACTGAATGAGTTCTTATGGAGGTCAGAGATGTTCCTGGGTACAGTAGTTCCATTGTACCATTCTTTGAAGTGCAACACATAATTTGGGTGCAATGCTTGGAGTGCAATGGTTGGGTAATAGGTAACCTTTCTTATGACATTAGGAAAAGTGAACATATATTTACATATATTTATGTTGCATTTTACCAGGTATGAGAGACCCTCTCTGTCTCTGCTCTTGTATATTCCAGTATCTAATGGACTTCCCCCTAAACTCTGATAACAATATTGTGTGTACGATTTCTCCAGGTTCCTCAGAAGAAATACAAGATTGAGAATTACTTCCTCTATTACCTCTTTCTGTTTGCCGCCACCTTGGGCCAGGAAGTTTTTTACATCACCTTCCTTCCTTTTTGCTTCTGGAATATTGATCCATGCGTGGCTCGGAGGGTGATCAATATCTGGGCAGTGAGTGACTTCATTTATATATTTGTGGGGGTGCGGGAGGGTGACAACTGAAATGACAAAAAATAACTAGGTTGAAAAGGACCTTTATGTGGCTTGGCATAGCAAGGACAATGTGTTAAAAGTTTTGATCATTTGTTATAACTCTCCCCTATTCTGTCAAATTCAGCCTAACTGAGCTCACTCTGTGGCATGATCTCAAATATTGTCCAATAATACTGTAATAAAACCACTGCAATGTTTGACTAGATTAAGGTGGCAATGCAGCGTTCATGTTTGTACAGGTATTGGCAGCCATCTGTCACTTCATTCAAATGGTCATCCTGGATGTATGCCAGGTGGCTGTTTGGCTGTGGTGTGCAACGCCATCAGTACTTTATAGCTGGCAATAGGTCTTAGTAAGAATTTATTTCCCTGCTCAGACCCAGGGCTCTGGAACTCGACTTGCTATTATGGCTGAGATCAGTTGCACAGAATAGTGATCAACTTTGGGTAAATCACTCAATCATGGGCCTGGTATAGTCCAACAGGTTTATTTGAAATCATAAACTTTTGGAGCATAGCCCCTTTGTCAGATGAAGTGACTTCTGACTTTGTCCACCCCAGTCCAACACCGGCACCTCCACATTGTGAGCCTGGAGGCAATGGTATTCCTCATTATTAATCTCTTAATTCCAGTTGGGTTGAACCTTGAAAATTGTCCCTGAGCATCTGATGCCAGAATGCAGCAGAAGTGTCAGGGTTGAAGGGCCTGTGGTGTATGAACTAATTATGTCCTAGATGCTCCAATTATCTGACCCTAACACACGTCAGCCAATGGAGGCACTAACTTAGAGAGTATTATCTTCCATTTTTGTATGCATTGTCAGATGTCCCACAGCAGCTGATTGGTAACAATGATTAAGTAAAAAGAATGTTACCTGACATCTCTTTGTGGAGATTCTCTTGCAAAGGTGGGGCGAAAGGTTGTTACACAATTGGAAAGGGAAGGGGTGGTGTTGCTCTGGAGACAAGAGCCCTATGATTTGGGACTCCACCCAAATATTTATTCCTGATGAAATGGTATTTTCTGATTGCATACGTTCACACTTGCCTCACTTTAATTACAGTAAACTGCACTTTCACCACACAATAATCCCTGCTCATGCAGAACTTGTTTACCAGGATATTTCATGAATGGATCATGATCACAATCAACCATAAAGGCTTACTAAGTTATTTCCACATTCTCAGTGCATTGAATCAGTCAGTCAGTCTACATTATATGTATATTTTGTGATTCTGAACGTATCAAATCAGTGAGGAGCAGCAATCAACAAACTCAATATAATGTTGAACCACACAAAATCAGTCAGAGGAGTTAATGAGTTACTCTGTGTAGTGATTTAGCCAGATCACATTGTAAGTTCAGGAACAGGAGGCCATTCACCCTATGAGAATATTCTACTATTTAATTAGATCTTGGTTGATACGTATCCAAATTCAATAACCCACGTTAGTTCTGTATCACTAAGTACCTGAGCATAACATCCATCAAACAAAAGCAAACATTGAAGATAGTCTCCACTTTCCTAGATGGCACCAGCTCCAGCAAAGCTCAAGATGCTGAATATATTTCAGGATAAAACATTCTGTTTGACTGGTGCCTGAGCGACCACCTTCAACATTCACTTCCTTCATCACTGGTGTACAGTGGCAGCAGAGTGTACTATCTGCAAGATGCACTATAGCAACTCCCCAATACCCCATTGATGGCATCTTCCAAATCTGTGACCGCTCCTACCTAGAATGACAAGAACAGCAGACACATGGAAACATTACAACCTGCGAGTTCTCCTTCAAACCATATATCATTCTGACTTGGAAATGTCACTGGGTCAAAGTCCTGGAACTTCTTCCCTAACAGCACTGTAGATGTACCCAACCCAGATGGACTACAGTGGCTCAAGATCTTGGTTCCCCACCACCTTCTCAAGGGCAATTAGGGATGGACAGTACATGCCTGCCCAGCCAGTAAGACCCACACTCCTTGATGACACAACATTTTTAGGTATCTGAAGGTACCTTCAAATACTGAACAGGTATCAGTCAACATCCATCAGTCTTAGTTTCAAAATGTTCAATTTACCCTTGGCCTCAACAGGAGGCTTTCTGGAGGGCAGACACAATGGAATACTTTGGCTTTTGACTAATTCTGAGGACTGATCGTAACAGACTTTCAAGTTTTGGAGGAAGTGTGGAGAGGAGGTACATGGTCAATCAATGGCATCAGTTGTCTAAGACATGGAGAAAGATCAGGGCTGTTCAACTTGTGAAGGAGGCAATCTTAAAAAGGGTATAAAATAGTTAATAGAATGTAGTGATAATTCCATCAGATTATGCTAAATTATGAGTAGACATATGTTCACAGGTTCATACTAGTAAAATAATTGTTGACTGAAAAGAAATTCCTCTCCACATAGAGGACTGAGGGGTTGAGCAACACATGGAATAAACCTCAAGATTTGGTAGTGAAGGCATCATTTAAATGATTACATAGTACATTAGCGGGGTGGGGTGGGCCTTCAGTTTTCTCAGGGTGGGTGAGCTGAGGTGAACTGAATGGGCTTTCCATCTGTAATTATATTATACCTTTGTATGATTTAACAAATGCTTGATAAAAGTTTTGATGAAATGTTATCCTGACCTGAAGTGTTGGGCTAGATTTTACACTCATCTGCTGGTTGGTTTGAAGGCTAGGAAGTACTCATTAAATCCAGTTGGGGGCCCACTCACTCCTTTCTGTACCCACTACCATAAAGTAGCAGGGGGCGAAGCAGGTGGCCTGCCATAGGTAGCCCATTGGAAGCCAAGTTACTATCCTTCCTCTAGGTTGCCCTCTACCCATGGTCTCTCAAACCTCAGCTCACCACCAACCCCTCCACAGAAGCCTGCCAGCTTAATACCCAGCAAGACCCTAAACACATACTCAAATACTGATCCAAAGGCACATTTCTCTGTCTCAAAGTGCTAGGGAGCTGCCTGCTTCTGATTGACAGGCAGTTTTCTGAAGTGGGGATGCCCTGAGCTGGAAGAGTGAACTCCTGCCACCAGGGCATTGGGTGATCCCCTCAATGATTACCCATCTGACCTTCCAGATGACATTTAGGGGCATTGTGTGAAGAGTCTGGCACTTCATATCATTCAGCTTGTTAAATGTGTTTTTCTTCACAGATGCAGCCTCACCTGTTGAGTATCTTCAGCCTAATGTTGAAGGCCTGGTTAGAGTGGTTCATAGAACAGAAGAAGGCTGTTTGGAAATTGAATCTATGTCAACAATCTATGGAGCAATCCTGTCAGTCCCATTCTCCTTTTCTAACTCCATGACTCTTAAAGTTTATTTCCTTCAAGTGCCTATCTAATTTTCTTTTGCTTTTTCATTTTTTTGTGTTTGATTCTATCATACCTGTAGGTAATGAGTTCCAGAACATTACCACTCACTGCACTAAATTTGTAAAATAATCATTCTCATTTGACATGCATCTCTCACCCAAAATCTGTGACCCCAGTCCATGATCCATTAACTAATGGGAACAAACTTCCTTTGTCTACCTTATCTAATTGTGTCAACATTTCGTACACCTCAATGCCCTTCGCTTCAAGGAGAATGACTCCAGCTTCTCTAAACTAATGTGTAATGAAAATCCTTCATCCCTAGAACTAGTTACAGCCATTTTTTTTCTGGCTGTTAGTAAGTTGCCCGCATTGAACTCTGGGGAAAGTGTGTTTTGCATCTTGTTAATTTCTGCAACTAGATAGGATGAGTCCCTATGACCATGTTGGTTGCAACTCCCTTTGTTGTAATAGGACTTCACATAGGGCCATTCCATTCCTTTGTCTAGGCTGTGATGTGAGTTAGAAATTCATCTCTCCTCTTGGGTGTGAGGCATGCATGGCTTCTTTCTGATCCTTCTTTGAGAAGAACAATTATATGTTGAATAGGAAATACAACTTGTATGTGCTATCCCACCTCTTTGAATGTCTGGTTACGTTGCAAAGTTATTGCAAGCAACGGAGAAGAAGCAGCCACGGGAATATGATCCACTTTTTAATGTTCTAGGAGGTTATTGGACCTCTAACTGCTGGGTTCGCATGTATTGGGTATTCACATCAGTTGGACATGTTTTGGAACTCCATACCTCCTGAGGCTCTGCTGTGGTTAGGGATTCTGACTCTAGTTGAATGTATTCCTGAAGGTTTCATCACATGGTCTTCTGCTTTTCAATCTATATTAATGACTTGGAGATGAACAGACTGAAAGTAATGTCTTTAAGTTTCCGTATGAATCAAAGCTGGGTAGGAATTTAAGTTGAAGAGGAGACAAAGCTGGAAAGAGATATACAAAGTTATTGAGTGAACAACAACATAACAGAGTATAATGTGATGAAGTTACGTGAGTTTATTCAGCTTGATAGTAAGGATAGAAAAACAAAATATATTTCAAAGGGTGTGAAACTTCTAAATGATATTGAAAGACTTTGGTGTATTTGTACAAGAAACACAGAAAGTTAGCACACAGGCACAATGTAGTTTTGAACACAAATAGCATATAGTCTTTATTGCAAGGAGAATATAACAAGAAAATGGAGGTCTTGCTACAATTGTATGGAGCTTTAAAGGAGACCACAGTTGGTATACAATGCTCAGTTTTGGTCTCCATATCTAAAAAAGGGATAAACTTGTGTCAGAGGGACTTACAGTTAAAGCTCATTGGATTGGTTCCTGGGATGAATGAGTTGTCCTATGATGAGATGCTGAGTAAATTGGGCCTGTAATCTCTGGGGTTTAGAAAAATGAGAGGTAATCTGATTGAAACATACAAGATTCTGAAAAGATTTGACAGGCTAGACACTGTAACTTTGTTTCCTTGAACTGAGGAATCTGGAAGATGGGGCGGGGGCTGGGGGGCACGGCACAAGCCTTTTGTGGAATCAAAGTCCTTTTAAAAATGCAGGGCAGGACCCAGATGTGGAGGCACACCGCAGCATTTGTGCCAGAAGTGGGATGGAAGTAGGGCGTGATTTATACAGAATAGGAATTCAGCAGTGCCAATTTGAGCATAGTGCTAAATTCAGATAAACTTCATTTTGACTGTTCCAACAGCTTTAATCCACAGTTTGGGAGCCATGAATTATGGAGTAGATGTGAACCCTCCTTAAGGAAGGATGAGGACTGTTTAAATGTTAAGATCTGAAGTTTTAAATCCCCTGCTATTTAAACTTGAAAACAAGGCTGTAGTTGCCTGTGAGAGTCTAAAAAATGCCATTTGCTAGACTACACTGATTAACAGGCCATGAGGTATAAGTGAGAAAAAAAAATTACCATCCATTTGTGTAGTTTCAGTAGAATTCTTTATTGACATTTCCCATGGATTATGTTGTTATATAATTATCTTCCTAGGGTTCCCCAAACCACTGTAACCCCTGTTCACACTTAAAAATTGTCTTGACCTTTCAATGAGAATTGTAAGAGTGGCATATGGGGAAGAAGACAAATGAAAGAAGGAGGCAGGAGGAGAGATGGGCAGCCAGGCAGAACTCCATTGTCACCATGGCTGTCTCAGGGCCTCAAACCCCAGATTTTCAGCTTGTGACCCAAATTGGTGTTGTGACCAACATTTTAAGAAGCTCTAGATCCGGATGTTCTGAATTCACAGTTTGATTGACAGTTCAAAGTGACTATTAAAGGATTTGCTATCTTTAAGATGGCAAGGCAGGGTCCATGAATATACAAGGGAACACAAGGTGAGTGGGGACGTGAATTGGCATGAGGGGCCTCTGCGGGTGGGTTAGAGGATCTGGGGAAAAGGCTGGAGATTTCTAAACCAACTGGCACAAAGTCCCAGAGAACTGAGGTGGACCTTTTAACCAGCCCACTTCAGCATTCACTCACCCTTTCCAGGCTGCCTATGATCTGTTCTGAGTTCAACAGGCTCAACTTAATCCTATCCCTACCTCCCTTGAATAGGAATTGCAATTTAAACTGAAGCACGTCTCCTAAGCTGGGAAAATGTCTCAGTTCAAGCCACCCATGTGAGCACCAGAAGTCCAGCCCATTATCTCAGGATGAAGGGATAATCATTCAGGACTGTGATGAGGAGAACTTTCTTTACTTAGTGGATTGTGAGTCAATGGAATTCTTTACATCACAGAGCTATGAATGTTTCATCACTGACTACATTTAAGGCTAAGATAAAGAGACTTTGGCACCTCAGGATATCAAGGGAGATAGGAACTGCTGGGCAAGCAGACTTGATGCAGAAGGTCAGTCGTAATTATAGTGAATGGCAGGGCAGGCCCAAGGGGCTAAATGGTGTTTACCTGTTTCTATTTCTCCAGCTGCCTCATCCTCTCTCCTCACAATATCCCACCTTCCCATAGTCAATTGTAATGTGAATATATTCTTCATTACCCGATTAATTGATTGACAGTCATTCAAATAGCCTTCCATCCAATTTCCAATATTTTGCAACCAAGAAAACCCATTGTTGTAATACAAATAATGCACAGTGAATTCTGGATGTACATGCGGTCGAAGAAATTGGTTGAATGGTGTGATACTCGGCAGAAGAGAAAGAAGAAGCAGAGACACACAGATTGCTGACATTACAGGTTAGACTGGAGTTTAAACACCGGAGCAAACATATTTAAAAATAACCAGACCCAGAGTGAGACTAAAGGTTCGACAATGATTTTCATCAAGATTCTATTAGCCCTGGGTTAATGCTGAGTCAAGCATTTCTTGGGTAAATATCTGGTTAAGAGCAGAAACTAAGATTGAGGATAAGTCAGAATAGGTAATTAAAAGCTCACAGGCTTCAGAGTCATAGAGCCATAGAGGCCTACAGCACAGAAAAAGGCCTTTTGGCCCATTGAGTCTATGCCAGTCAAAAGGAACCAACTAATTTCTCGAATCTCATTTTCCAGCACTTGGTCCATAGCCTAGAATACCTTGGCACCCGCGTACTTCTGATTACTTCTTAAATGTCACGTGGGTTTCTGCCTCTACCACCCTCGCAGGCAGTGAGTTCCAGGTTCCCATCAATCCTCTGAGTGAATTTCTTTTCCCTCAAATCCCCTCTAAACCTCCTGCCACTTACCTTAAATCCATGTCCTTGGTCATTGATCTATCCAACAAAAGGAAAGGTTCCTCCCTGTCTATGCCCTTCATTATTTTACACATCTGTCATTTAACCCCCTCAGTCTCCTCTGCTCCAAGGAAAATAACCCCAAACTATCCTATCTCTCTTCATAAACTTTCCAGCCCAGGTAACTTACTGGTAAATCTCATCTGCACCCTCTCCAGTGCAAGCACGTACATCACATATATGGATACCAGAATTGCACACAGTACTCTTGCTGGGGCCTAACCAACTTTTTATTCAGTTCTAGCATAACCTGTCTGCTTTTAAACTCTATGTTTCAGCTAATAAAGGCGAGTATCCCATACACTTGCTTAATCACTTTATGTTCCTGTCCTGCTATCATAAGGGACCAAAGACATGTGCACTAAGGTCCGTTTGATCTTCGTGTTTCCTGGGGTCCTACATTCAACCTTTGCTTATTTGTTCTACCCAAACACGTCACCTCAAACTTATCTGGATTTATTTCCATTTGCTACTGATCAGTTCATCTGACCAACGCATTTATAGTCTCCTGTAATATATTATTATCCGCCTCACTATTTACCACCCAACCTTACTGATCAACAGAAATGCACTCAAGTCTGAACTGTTTATTTACATCATAAACAATGATCCCTGTGGAATCCCACTAAACACAAGCCCCCAGTCACAAAAACACCCCTCAGCCGTCAGCCTCTGCCACTCAGCTAATTGTGGATCCAAGTAGCCAAATTTCCTTGGATCCCACGTGCTCTTACCTTCACTATCAATCTCCTATGCAGGACCTTGTCAAAAAACCTTGCTAAAGTCCAAGTAAACGATGTCAAATGCATTGCTTTCATCTACACATCTGGTTACTTTGAAACATTTAATCAAGTTGGTCACACATGACCTCCCCTTAACAAAACCATGCTGAATATTTTTGATTAATCTCTGCTTCTCGTAGTGCAATTAATTCTGTCCCTCAGAATTGCTTCCAATAGTTTCTCCATCACAGATGTTAGACTGGCTGGCCTGTCGTTTCCTAGTTTATTATTAGCTCCCTTCCTGAATAACGGTATCACATTGTCTGTCCTTCAGTCCTTTGGCACCTCTCCTGTGGCCAGAGAGGAATTGAAAATGAACACCCCTTCTATTTCCAATTGACTCACTCAACAGCCTGGGATACGTTTTATCTGGCCGTGGATAATTATTTACTTTTAAGCGTGTCAGACTTCTCAGAATCTCCTCTCTGTCTATGCTAACCTATTTTAGTATATCTCAGTCCTTCTTGATTTCAAGACCCACATCATCACTCTCACCAGTGAACACCAACACAAAGTATTTATTTAGAACCTTACCAATGTCTTTTGGCTCCATGCACAAATTACCAATGTAATCCTTAATGGGTCCTACTTTTTTCCTAGTTATCATTTTAGCCTTTATGTACTTGTCAAATAACTTCAGATTTTCCTTTATTTTACCTGCTATTATTCTTTCATGAACCTTTTTGCACTCTCCTAATTTCTTTTTAAGTTGCCCCCTGCACATTCTGTACTCCTGTAGGACATCTGCTGTTTTGAGCCCTTGTATCTGTCATAAACCTCCCTTTTTCTCTCCATCCAATCACGTATACCCCTGATATCCTGGATTCACAGGATTTCATCCTTTGTTTTTTATTGGAATATGCTGGCTCTGTACTCTCCTTATTTCCTTCTTCAATGTGTCTCACTGCAACACTGATTTGCTGTGCTGTACCCTGACATCTGGAGAATGTGGCAGGTCAGCATTGAATAACACTGCTGTAAAGGTGAGAAGGATAGGTGGAGTTTCCAATTAATTGATCCCTCCCTCCTTGTGTTCTCCACTCCTCCAGGTTGTCATGTACATTGGCCAGGCTTCCAAAGATGTCTTAAAATGGCCGAGGCCTCCGTCGCCTCCAGTGGTCAAGCTTGAAGTACGGGTGGATGCAGAGTATGGGATGCCCTCCACTCATGCCATGGCTGCCACTGCAATCCCCTTCACCTTCCTTCTGGCTACAATGAATAGGTACAAGGTGAGGTGGCATTCAATTCTGCTTTGGTCTTTCAAATGCTTAGATGGCTCTTGTGGAACTACAGCTCCAGCTTTCTTGTTGTAGGTTCAAGTACTTTCCTCATTTTAGTCTCTGGTAATGACAATCAGGTAATCTACTGGAGTGGGCTAGGTGGACATGACATTAACTGGGCCAGAGTAAATTGGTGATCCCTTGGACAACACATTCGATTCTTTTTTTTCTCCTCCACTGGCTACCATCTGTTTCTAAAATAGTACCCAAAACAATGCTAACTCTATTTATTTCCCAAATGTTGCCATGAGTGAACATGCTTCCCATTATGGCACTGAGGCCAAGAAAGTCCCATGTTTTATCCCGGCTTGGATGGAGCGAGCACACTTCAGCCAAGGCAGTGCTTTGTGCACCAGAATTGGCAGCAGTGCACCTGGGTCAGAGTGGGAGAAGTTAGGGTATGGGGCGTTGTGGTTGGAGGGTGAGGGTGTTAGAAGAAATTCATTAAGGTCTAATTACTCATATGTTTCCAGAGTCAGCCTGGACAGGGGAAGTGCAAGACATCTCAAGAACTGGGCCTCTGGCCTCATTGTAGCAATAGGAGCAACCTGTTGTCAAATGTCATCTCTCCAGAGGCATATCACTAAAAGTACACTTACCTACCATGCTAGCAGTGGCTGACAGGCGTGTCCAGTGGGGTAAAGTTTTGGGCCAATTATGAAAGGGCATTGGCCTTCAGGTGCACTTTGGTTTACAGAATGCAACACTCTTGCTCCTCCTGGAGGCTGGTAAGGAAGCAGCAGAAACCACAGTAGGAGTAGGGCCTAGCTTGGTGCTGTCCACTGTGTTGCAGGGTTCCTGAAAAGAACACATGCCCCTCAGGGGTCAAATACCTTTTGAAATGGCTGCCTCAGGTTCTTTGCAGTCACCTATATCACTAGCTGCATGTCAGTGCAGTTTGGGCATGGAACATTACATCCTGAAATTACATTCAATAAAATGGGTACAGGGAATTTTGTAGGTCTCTTGCTCCTGAACGTCTCTCCAAGCCTCGGCTCAGAATGGGAACTTGAGCAAGACACCGGAGAATGAACAGAGAAAGGAATGAAAAGGAGATTAAGGAGAAGACTGATAGAGGAAATGAGTAGAAAAACCAAGGAAAAGAAAGACTTGCATTTATATTGCACCTTTCAGTTCCAAAGTGCTTCACGGCAAATTAAATATTTTGTGACCTCTCCTGACTGCCTGGAATCTTTGGGACCAAGTTATTTGATGGATTTTCAAATTTTCTGGATCGGTGAATGATGTTAAAATGCCTGACCACAGGTGAGTGAACCAGAAAAAGTGTAGAGATAAATATTTACCTCAAACATGAAACAGCGATAAGATACCATAAAGCAGTAACAAAACCAAACACTGTATTTTTCCTGTTTCTGTTCCCAAGGTACTGTATGGGGTCTGCTCAAAATACTACCAGACAACTGTTGTATCTGAAGAGTAGATTTCTGGACTAGAGAGGTTACAATATAATCATGTGAATGTAATGTAGAAAATACAACAACCATCTTGTACAAACATCCATTATCAGTAATTTTATAGTAACCCCAGATAATCTGTTTTTGTGATATTGATTGACAGATAAATATTAAATAGGACTTTGCTGTTCTTCTTTGAATGGGATCTTTTACATTCACTTTGCACAGCAGACTGGTCTCAATTAAAAATTGCATCTGACAGTGCAGCGCTAGAGTGCCTGAATTTCTGTGTTCACTTCTCTGGAATTGATCTTGAACCCAAAACCTTCTGAGTACTGCCTACTGAGCCACAACTGACACTGTGGGAGAGAAAATGGAGAAGAAAAACAGTGATAGAAAGTGAGTGTGGTTGAAAGACAGACAAAGAGAACAAGGGAAAGATTTAATGAGAGGGACAGTTATTGAGGAAACTAAAGTGAATCAGGGCCACAGAATGAATGCATAAGAGTGACACACACCCCCTAATAAACTTGCATCAATGTATGCGCACATATGGACACCAATCCACATGACTTACCACTCTATATAAATAGACCCAAACATTCATCTACACATGCAAAACTATAGCCCCCATACACACAGACCCAGATATCTTGTATTACATGAACACCATGTAAACAAAAAGATCGAGAGGGGGGCAATATTCTGAAAGTGGCTTGAGCTCACATTGCTTTCTTACCCTGTTTGATGCAACAGAATGGAGATACTGAACAGAGGAAGAACATGTTTTAAAAGGATGGTAACTAGAACCAGGTGTTCCCCAATCAGAACTGCCAAGAAGCTTTTAAAAAATTGGCAAGGTCATCTCCAAGCTCGATAAAAATCTAATTACTGTGAAAGTGACTCTCTCCCTGGTTAATCAGTTACCACTGAGTATCACAAAAGGAATTTCAACATCCATGATCACTGACCTCAGGAGCTTAGGGGTTCTGCTCTGTCAGCCTGCTCCAGTTCTGAATGTAGTTTAGACATAAAAAGGCAAAGAAAAAGTTAATCAAACAAGTGGCCAATAAATAAAACCAGCCCTTTCTGTTCACAGATATGTCTCAGAAATAGGAATTTTACTGGACAATACCCCACTGCTTCCTGTCATCTATATTGTTATAATAGAACCATAACGAGATTAAGGTCCAGAAAGAGGCCATTCAGCCCACTGTGTCAATTCCAGCTCAATAAACTAACCCACATTTCACACTTCTCAGCAGGATACAGCACTACAGGCTCCTTCCAGGAGTTGAAATTTCCATCTCAACCACCAAACTGGGCAATGAACCTTTATTCATTCATGGGATAGGAGTGTGGCAGGCTAGACCAGCATTTATTGCCCCAAGAGCGGTTAACATTCAACCACATAGCTCTGGATCTGGTAGGCCAGATTGGATAGGGATGGCAGACTTCTCTTCCCTAAAAGACAGCAGTGAATCAGGTGATTTTTTTTAAAACGACAACCAACACTGATTTCATGATCATCATTAGACTTTTAATTTCAGATTTATTAATTAAAATGAATTCCACCATCTGTAAATGGTAGGATTTGAACCCGTGTGTCCAGAATGTTAGCTTGAGTTGCTTGACTACTAGTCTAGTGATACGACCACCATACCACCAGCTCCCCTGATTGTGCTCGTGTCAGAACTGTAGCAACCAATTTGCGTTTCACAAGCCACAATGCAATAACGACCAGGTAACCTGTAATAATAATGTTGGCTGAGGGAGGCTTAGAGATAAATAATGGGCAGGAAATTAGAGAGATCGCCCCTACTCTTGCATCCTGAGGATTCCTGCATCTTTCTGAGAACGCGGATAAGACTTTAGTTGAGCTTTTAATCTGAAAGGAGCATCTTCAATAATTATGCACTACCTCAGTACTGCAGCAGGAGTCAGTCAGTTCTGAGGAAGGGTCACTGGACCCGAAATGTTAACTGATTTTTTCTACACAGATGCTGCCAGACCTGCTGAGCTTTTCCAGCAACTTCTGTTTTTGTTCCTGACTGCAGCATGAGTGTCAGACTGAATTTTGTGCTCAAGTCTCAGGAACAGGATTTGCAGTTATAACCCTCCCACTCTTAAGTAAGGGAGTTACCCTTTGAGCCTCAGCTACAATGCGGAGCAGGCCCATAACTAACTGAGAATGTGTCCATGTCATGATCCTCGAGTGCTTACATTAAATTGTGACCAGGCTGAGCCACATTTACTTCTCTGCTGAATGCTTGCAGAAAGATTTGGTTCTTTTGTAAACCTTGGATTCAATGAAAACCCCAAGCGCTAAATCAACAGCTTAAACCATGAAATATCACCACAGTTTGGATTTTATTTTGAATTGTGATTGTGCAACCATTTGTTGGGGTTACAATTCATCAAATTCCACAACCAACTTTCACCTGTCTTGTGCTATTGCTGCAGATTTTACTGGAATTGTTTTAGGTCTCATGTTGCAGCAGTCAGTCTCAATGTGGTCTGCTCCTCTCATTCAAATGTCACAGGTACAGTTCCTCATGAAGAATGATGTGCTTGGGTTACAAAAAGTATTTGATAGCCTTGGGGCACTACAGAGCAGAGAGCTGTGACTGTAGTGAGATGATCATTTCACACAAAAAGATGCAAGGAATGGGATTAGGCTGTGATATTGACTGGGACTGCTGAAGTCACATGGAATTGTCCGAGTTAGAACATATATTGCTAAGTTTTTGAAGATCAGTTTTGATTTTATATTTAAGTATGGCTTCATTGTTTTAAACAGTGAAGATTACATTCATACTTGACCTAAACAGTCATCTCATTACAGTTAAGTATGCTCAAAGTGTTTTCTGAAATCACTGCTATCTTTAATAACACTGACCTTTGAGGAAGAGTGGAATCTGAGAGGTACATTGTACTAAAACTATGCCGTTCCTGTCCTGAGAATGTTTTGAGACTTTTAGAATGGAGCTTTACTCTGCCTATAACCTGTTCTTTACTTATCCTGGGAGTGTTTGATGGGACTGTACAAAGGGAGCTTTTTTAATTTAAGCCATCACTAAGTAAATCATCTCGCTGTTTTTATTTCAGTATCCTTTTGAGCTGGGACTTCTGCTAGCTTTGGCTATTTGTACCTTGGTCTCCCTTAGCCGTATTTACACAGGAATGCACACGGTTTTGGTAAGTCAAGATGGGCAATGCACTGCATGACAGAGTTTGGGGTTGGCAGTAATGAGTGAAAAATCTTTTTTGTTAAATTAAAGTCATCATAATCCCAGAGAACCATAGGCTGCTCTCTCATTAGAGAGAGAGAAATAACTGGTGTTGAGTTTAACCTGGGGATTAGCACCTCTCAGGCAAGGGGCCAGGCTGAAAGGCAGGGCTTTCATGGTAAGTTCGGTTGATACTGAAATTGAACCCATGCTATTATTTTTTTTTTCTGAAGAAGTGTCTAGGCCCAAAACATCAGCCTTCCTGCTCCTCTGATGCTGCTTGGCCTGCTGTGTTCATCCAGCTCTACACCTTGTTATCCCATGCTATTGGTGTCAGTTTGCAGCTACCCAACCAACTCCACTAGTGAACTTTGGGCAGCACGGTGGCACAGTGGTTAGCACTGCTGCCTCACAGTGCCAGCGACGCAGCTTCAATTCCAGTCTTGGTGCATGTCTGTGTGGAGTTTGCACACTCTTGCCTTGTGTGCAAGGATTTCCTCCAGGTGCTCCAGTTTCCTCCCACAGTCCAAAGATGTGTAGGTTGGGTGGATTGGCTATGCTAAATTTCCCTGCAGTGTCCAGGGATGTGTGGTTGAGTGGGTTAGCTATAGCAAATGCGGGGTCATGGTTGAGATGCTCTTCAGAGGATTGGTGCAGATTTGATGGCCAAATGGCCTGTTTCTGCACTGTACTGTTTCTATGATTAACGCTTCAAAGGCCTAGGCTATGTAACCATGTGAACTGACTTTTCCTACATATAAAAAAAAGGAAAAAGTGCAGAAATCTAAATGAGCAGGAAAAATATACAAATTGCACATCAACATTTTGAAGAAATAACAGCAGGATAACCTTACAGTACCTACCAGCACAGGTCTCTGTTCTGTTCCAGAAAACCAACTGCTGAAGGATAGCACAGGAGTCACTCTGGACTCAGCCTTACATTTATTTACAGAGATTATTACAAGCATATATCTCCTAACTCAACCACACCACAGTTTCACTAAAGTACATCTTTATACGTGGTAAGGAAAATCCCAATTAGCCTTCTGATCACAAAGAAATTTTTTGGGAAAGGCAGGAGGCTCAACAAGTTTTAATTGATTAATATAGCAATCATACCTTTTCAATGACATCCCTGAATCCCATCTAATTGTCTTCTCCTCACAATGACCTAATAGTTATGGTATTGGTACTGGGAACCCATTAGTTCAAATTACACCATAGCAAATTGCGAAAACTGAGTTTAATAAACCTCACAATTTGTGCACTGTCAAGGACGACTACCTGTCATCATTAACCAGTCTGGCCTACACATGACTTCAATCCCACATGCTTCACAGTGGATTCTTTTTGCCCTCAGGGTAGCAAATGATGGGCTGTTGATTGGCTTGCCATCACCTCATGAACTAATGATAAAAAAAAGCAACAAGTGGCAATATATTTAATTGGCAACAAGCAGGTTGCACACTTTTTGACATCAGTCTTAATTGACAAAATGACTGTGGTTTATGGGCTGTTGCCAGGGAACCTCAACACCACCCTGGAGTCACTGAGAGCCTAAAATTGTTCATCCTCTCCATCAATTCAGTTACCCTCGGGTTTGTTGACTTACTCCAGTCAATACCAACACAGTGCCTACCCATGGGTGTTTATTACTGTGGCATGTTTAACAGCTTAAAGCAACAATGTTATAAAAGTCATCTATTCATTAATGCTTCTGCTGTTATCCCAGTCCAAAAACACATACTTTTTAGCTGTAGGACAAGCTACAAAATTGAAAAATGGACATCTATACAGAGGGTGGATTGTTAACAAATGATTAGAAATAGAGATTTCGCTGGAAACAACAGAGAGTCAGTAGTCATGAACACTGCCTTAGCAACTGCATTTCACAGATCAGGAGGATGATTGTTTTAATTGCCTGATTTGTCCTGGGTCAGCTGGTCTCAGCTAAGGTACTATTTGACGTGCACTTCAGTGCGAACTGGAAAGACAGAAATCTGCTGGTTCTGAAGGAGAGTCATACTGGACTCTAAATGTTGACTCTGCTTCTCTCTTCAGAACTGCTGAGTTTTTCCCAAGAACTTTGTTTTTATTTCAGTCTGCTAGGGGAGCTGCTTCACCTGCTCTGTTGAATGTGGGCTAATGCAATGATCAGGTATGAATGCGATTCCTTCCATGGTCAGATTCACAGTCAAGGAAGGAGGTGGAGTTCATGAGGAGGGTGGGGAATCCCACATATACAGCAGCCCCTTGCGTAGAGTGCTGCGAAGTGTACTGACACCTGCATTGCATCAGGAGCCAAATGACTTCAGGAGAGAAGATCTAGACAGGGATCTACATTCAGGATCTCCAGGATTTGATTCGATGTTTCTAACTTCCATTGGAGCCTGAATCCTTTTTTTTAAACCAGCTATTCCTCAGGAGATGACATTTTCTGTCCAGTTTCCAAAAGTACTCAGATGTGGAAATGTGGTGAAGAATTGATGTGGATTTTAAAGATTATAGTTAGGATTATAGTGGAAGGTTTTAGTTTATTTTAAAGGTAACAGTCAACAAATGGAGTACAATGTGAGAAAACGTGAAGTTGCTCATTTTGGAAGGGAGACAAAAAAAGTATTATTTAAATGAAGAAAAATTGCAGGTAACTGCAACACCAAGGGATTTGGGTTTTTTTGCACATGCAAAACGGAAAGCTAGCACACAGGCACAGCAGGTGATCAGTAAAGCTAATGGAATGTTGGCCCTTATTTCATAGGGGTTGAAGTTTAAGAGTAGGGAAGTTTTACTGCAACTGTACAAGGTGCTGGTGAGACCTCATCTGGATTACTATGAGCAGTTTTGGTTTCCTTATTTAAGAAAAGATATAATTTCATTGAAGGCAGTTCAGAGAAGATTCATTGGGATGATCCCCTGTGTGGGGGGATTGTTTCATGAGCAAAGGTTAAACAGGTTGGGACTCTTGTTCATTAAAAATGTAAGATTCTTAAGGGGCTTGTCAGGGTAAATGCAGAGAGGATGCTGCTCCAGCCAGAGGGCAGAGTCACAGAATTTAGGGGTGCCAATTTAAGACCAAGATGCGGATGAATCTCTTCGTTGAGGGTTGAGTGTCTTTGGAACTCCTTGCCACAGAGAGCTGTGGAGGCAGAGTGCTTGTGTATATTTAAGGCTGAGATCGACTCTTAATCAGTAAAGGAATCAAGGGTTTGGGGAAAGAGTAGCAGAGTGGACGTGGGGAGCGTAGGATCCGCCATGATCCTATTGAATGGCAGAACAGGTGGAGGGGCCGAACGGTCCACTCCTGTTCTTATTTCTTATGGCCGGCTGTAACTAATGGCTGTTTCTCCTCCTCAGGATGTGCTGTGTGGAATTGCAATCACTGCGGTGCTGGTGGCCTTTTCCTACCCTTTCTGGGATGCTCTGGAAAACTTCCAGATGAGGAACAGTTTCGCCCCGATACTGGCACTGTCGCTGTCCTTCCTGGTATCTATTTATTACCCTGAGCTGGATCACTGGAGCACGGCCCGGGGAGACACCACCAACATTGTGAGCGCGGGCGGCGGCGCGGCTTTGGCGACCTGGATCAATCATCAGTGGAGCCTCCTTCCAGAACCTTCGTCCGCCCCACCCTACGACATTCCCGCGCTGTCTGCGCCATTGATTTGCAGGATGAGCGCCCGATTCGCCATTGGCATCGTCATTGTGTTCATCGCTCGGCACCTGATAAAGTCCGTCGCCCTGACTCTGGTTTGCAGATTGGCCGGAGTCTCCCCCCTGGACCGGGAGGCTCGGAAACTGCTGAGGGTCGAGGTTCCCTATAAGTACATCACCTACAGCTGCCTGGGGGTGGTGGGACTCGCTGTGTGCCCGGCAGTACACCGCTACTTAGCGCTTTGAAAGTTGATGCGTGTTGGGAGGCAGTGAGGAGAGTGTAGCACTGGATGGGCCGAATGTTCTCGCTCCTTCACTGAGGGGTGGGGGGCGGTGGTGGGTTAAATTGGAGCTGGGTCTGCTCAGCTCCAGGAGTAAATTGACCAGGGGCGGCCTCAGAAGCCGATTTACTCGGATACAGCTCCCCTCTCCCCCCAGTCAGGTGGTGGAGCAGGCCGCCGGAGCCCGAGGCGCCATCCAAACGAAGGGTATCCCAGCGGCGTGCCGCCTCCCCTCTCACCCCTCAAATATTTAATAACCCTCTGTTTCGAGGCGCCCTCTCATTCTCGGACCTACCTCGGAAGGCCTTGCCTCTAAGTTTAGGCATATACCGACTGAGGCCACCTCCAGGAATTTGCTCCCGACAGTTTGGGCGAGTGGTCAGGGCGGGTTCGGGAACATCCCATCCCTGACGTCGGAGTCCTGAGCCCCAGGAGAATCCTTGCCTTAGCTCGGATTTAGTGAGAAACCTGAGGGACCATAGGGTCATTGCTCACTAACGAAGATCTCAATCAACCGGTTCTCATGGATATTTTCCTCTGTTATCATACCGATCGAGGGATTTCTTCCTTCTGTCCTGTATCCTGGGCTGAGACCAGCGAATAGATTCACATTGTGCTTCAAGACTACTCTCTCCCCCCAACGCTATAGGTTCCTTGACTTTACCCCAGCAGTTCCTTCGCACAATGAACATTCATTCAAATAAACTTATTCACATTGTGAATTCGAGCTCCTTCACACTCACTCCTATTATTTTTTTTGGAACTAAGATTTAACCTGACGTTTAGTTTGATTTAGCCAGGTCTTCCCGTGGTTAAATCGTACGTCACTAACATATTTCAACGAGGAACAGATCACACGTGGGAGATAGGGCTCTCTTAGCACCGTGATAGTGTCTTTTCCTTTAACCCAGGAGACCTGGGTTCAGGCCCCACCTGCTTTGGAGTTGGGCAATAACTTATCTGAACGGATTGTTTAGAAAATAGGTTCGAATGTAGGAACTGAGCTGCTTTTGTGTGAGATTTGCTGTCACTGTCTAGGTCACAGCTGGATCATTGATTTAAAAAAAGATTTTTGAAAAAAACATGTTAGAATTCTTGTGTCCCTTTTAAATCGAGAGTTGACAGAAATCTGTCTGCGTTGAGGCCAGTATGGCTATGTTCTCTTGTAGGGACTGTATTGATATGTCATGGGAGGGGGAGAGGAGCTGTTTTACAGTTTTTGGCTGAATGGCTGGGATTCTGGGACCTGAAACTTAAGCAAGGTTCCTCCAAGTACGCAGTGTTGATTATTCCAAGGGTCTAAATGCAGACTTACAACCTGTCTTGCAGAGTGTGAGTTGAGCTGTTTCCTTCCCCGGCTTCACTGCACAGTTCCAGGGGCCATTTCTGTAAACAGGAATGAAAATTCAAGTGACTACCAGTGCAGATTGGCCCACACTGTGGGCACAATAGCCCTTACTGATTGCAATCACAGCCGTTGGGGTGGCTCCCTTTAATCCTCATGGATAGGTTTCTGAAATAAAAATTTCAGATTAGAGTATTCTCTCTACACCTTCCTATCAAACATTCCGTAGAGCAGGGCTGTATCTAGCATTCATTCGATCGAGTTAAGCTTATCCTGCATTATCTCATCAGACGATCTTGGGGAAGGTGCAGAACTGGTTAGACACAGAGTAAAATTTCCTCTGCACTGTCAAACGAATATATCAACCCAGGGTAGATATGTCGCAGGTTAACGCTCAGCCATTTTGATGATGAAATTCCTGGCACTCTTCTTGATCTGAGTTGACTTAAACTGGAGTGTTGATAAAAGGGTTCAAACCCCTCAGTGTGAATGCCTTTAGTGCACTGGATTGCAGAGGGGAAAACATTCATGTATCCCATTCCTGATTATTGTCCAATGACTGCTGATAGAATTTCAAACAAAACTGAACAAACTCCTTTCTCTGGAAAAGAGATTAGGAATGACCTAGCAGAGTTCATTAAAAGAGGGTGGATACAAAGACATTTTCACTTGCAGGTGTAATAAGCCTGAGAATGGTGAGAATCTAGTACTCAATACTAAGTGGATTGTTTGAAGTGAATAGCATAAGTGTATTTAAGAGAAGGCTAAATAAATGGTGAAGGAAAAAGGAATAGAAGGATATGCTCATTGGGTAGGAACGCTGGTGTGCATCATTAACACCAGTACGGGATTGTGAACTGGATTGGCTTGTCCCTATGCTGCACAGATTCCGTACTTCTTTGTAAGTATTGTTTGGATATGGAGCAAGGCCGAAAAAGACCATGATATCCTCCTTGTGATGACACTCGTGTCCAGACTGATGGGCAAAATGATAGCTGGAGTAGGGAATGGGGGTGGAGGTTGGAAGTGAACCATTGCCAGGGCTGTTTGAATTGTATCAGTGTTGAGTCAGTCAGAAAAGGGTAAGGAGGCTGAGTGAAGCTTCCCTCTGATTTAGGGAATCTGTCCTTGTTTATTTGGAGACTCGTGTTCAAGGAATCAGTCACCTTTGGACCAAAAACTAATGAACTGTAAGTTTCGACATGAATGAAGCAGCCGTTATGAACCCTGCATGAGGGGTCTATTGTAATCCGTGAGTTTAACAGATGCATACATGTGGAGGTGCAGATTATTGAATTGAATATTTGTGTAAATAGTGCAGCTATGTGTTGGCATGACAACGAATGCCAAAACGGCAGCATGTTTTGAAAACTAGAAAAAGTAGAGCAGTGAAATACTTTTAATTAGCACACCTTGGTCCCTCAGGGAATCTAACATTGACACATAAACACAGGGTGTACAGGTGCTGGAGAGAGATTTATAATGACGTGTTTAGGCAGGAGTTAAAATACAGATCAGTTTAGAAAGATGAAACAAAAACAGAAATTGCTGGAGAAAGTCAGCAGGTCTGGGCAGCATCTGTGAAGAGGAAAGCGGAGACAATGTTTCCCGTCCTGAATTTCTCCAAAAATTTCCGTTTTTGTTTCCGATTTCCAGCACCCTCATTTCTTGATTTTACTTTACAGTTTAGAAAGATACCGTTATAACATTTGTTGTTGTCTTTTTCAAGCTGTATGCTGTTTCAGGTGAGTGAGGGATATTTGAATTGGAGATGGAACGCTGCCATTCACCACATTCAATCAATTCCAGAACAATTCGGGTACAACGCAGTCTATGGACTGTGTCCCGATCCAGCACTTTCAATCCAACCTCAGAGCAGCGCCCTCCACTGCACCACTGTAGAATCCTCATTTTCTCCCCCACGGTATTTCGATGTTTCTCTGAGTGATAACGGCCCACAGTTCGTGCAAATTAAATTGAGTCTCCTCACACTTGATTCACTTATCATCGAGAAGGACCACCAGCTGCAAGTTCCCCTTCATGCCATGTACCATCCTGAGTTGGAACTATATCACCATTCCTTTACTGTCGCTACGTCAAAATGCCAAAACCCCTTCCCTAACTGCCTATTACATGGCCTGCAATGCCGTTTATACGCAATAAAGGATGGGCCAACAAATGCTGGCCTTGCCAGAGGTGCCCAAATTGTGCCTTTTGATTTATAGCCAGCAGAGATTTGTAATGAAACACTTGTACACCACACCCATTCGCATTCCCATACACTGGGAATCGCATGGTACTGGGAATTCTTCCGTAATTTTTCCCTTTCCACTGAAGAGACCAATTGTAACACAGCCTCCCATTATCGCATGGGAGGAAACCATTCAGAGACAGCAGACTGGGGCAATCCATGTACAGGGAGGTAACTTGTTTGAACAAGCTAGGACTGCTAAAGAAAAGATAGATGCAGGAAACATAGAAACAGACATTGGAAATAGAGATAGTAGGAACTGCAGATGCTGGACAATCTGAGATAACAAGGTGTAGAGCTGGATGAACACAGCAGGA